ATAAATACTTCAACTATTTTTTAATTTCTAAGTTCCTGTAAGGCAGCTGAAGTGAGGGTTTCCTGTATTTGTACAAAGTCCCTCTGTCTCACATCAGTATTCCTCTTCCTGAGGCTTCGAGTTGTGGTTCTATTATTTATAAAGAAGCTCAAGGATCTCTCAAACAAACAGAAAGATAGTTCCTCACATCAGGGGTTCACAATCTAAATAATGAGGCCTTGGGATCAAATCTACTGCTGACACAGACTGCACAGCTCCACTTTATTTAGCTGAGTTTCACTTGCACATTCTAGCAGCAAAAGCTTAATCTTTGTGTTCAGAAAATCAGTTGTTGTTGTTTTGATGTACTGAATTCGATTAAATGATTTTACAGCAAGAGAAAAAGACTGTTTATCTGTTGAAGTGTCCTCATTTATTTCACTGAAGTTCCATAACTAAGATCCGAAATACGGTTTTAAAAGCTAAACAATTATATGTCTGCTTCATCAGGAGCATATAAGTTAAAAACCAAAGTGTTTACATTGTTCTTCCTACAGTGGAAGAGCAAGGGCTACAGATTTAAAAGATACAAGAAAATTAACTTAAAGCAGCACTCTATGGTTCCAAGTGTATATGTGAGCCAGATCACTCTTTGTGATGAGCTGAAACTTCAATTTCTCTTGAACAACTTCAACCATCTTAATCTGTCTTCTGCCGTTAACCTCAAAGAAGCAAAAAGGCTTTACATTCCTTATATTCCATGAATTATCATTACATCCTTAGTATTGCAAGTATAAGCACTAAACTTTGAAATGTGTTAACAGTCACGGGAATTAAAGTTTTCTCAGTATGCATACCACAGGCAAGTAACAGATTTTAGGTATTACATACTTGTAGTGAAGGAACAGCACCATAACTCTCAGGACTGCTGTCTCCATAAGGAAAATAATAGAATGTACACTACACATTTTCTAGATCAAATTTTCACTGTTTGACCATTTTGGACAGTCCTTGGTTTGCTTAGTGATCACTGTCTTTTTTCTGTTGTAATTTTTTTTTTTCTTCTCTTTACCAGATCTGGATGGGACATCACTGCTCAAAAGGACACCTGAGCCAGCCTCTGAAACTATAGAGTATTAAAGAAGAATGGTCAACATCTGCCTCATTTTGGTGGAGTGGCTTTTGGCTCCTGCTGGAAGGACACAGTCAGGGCCCAGAAATAAGGAACAGTGCTCATCTCTGTTCAGCCCTACCTCAACATAATGCACTTGAGGAGTCCCTACCTCAACATAATGCACTTGAGGAGTTCCTGGAAGTCACTACAGATGATATTTTGCAGAACAATTTCCCCACGTTTTGCTTTTTATTTCTTTGCAGAGAGTAGGAAGGCTCTAAAACACAGCCCACCCTGCAGGAGACCCCGCTGAGGATGTGGCAGGATACAGTGTCAGAGGGAGTCACTTTCATGGGGAACTGATAGCTCTTTCTCTGAACAAAGGAAGCAAGAGTTATGTAAATCTCCCTTTTTCATTCTTAGTGCCCTTAGAAGTCTCAGAGAATAACAGAAGAATCAAAGCCACATAGCTCCTGCCCCAGTAATCTGTGTCCAGTGATGGCTTTTGCCTCTGAGTTCTGAGCTAGAATGACAAATTTAATGCCTGCATATACCGTGTATATTCTCAGCTATTTCTCCGATTTTCAGTAATCTCAGAATATTGATATCAAGTCATTTCCTCAACAGTCATACGCTAAGTCAAGAATGAAAAGCACAATCACCAAATTATTTCAGATGCTTCAATCATTTTCACATCCAATATTCTTATTCATTTCCTTACTGACCATTGAAGCAGGATGTTTATTACTTAACATTGCAAAATACACTAAATAAAATGAAAACCACCATTAAAAGGCTTTTGTGAATTTGTGTCAATTACAAAGAACATAAGTTTATTGCCCTGAGATCTACCTGCATATTTATATTCTGTCAGATGTTTTTATCAGAGGCCTAAACAGACTGCATAATTGCTGTGCCTCTCTCCCAGGCTGTGCTCTGAGGTGTGCCGTCTCCCAGACCCAACCACTTCCTACTCAGTTCATAGGACTGATCTCAGTGTGACAATTCCACTTTATCCATCAAATCTAGTGAGATGCCAGGGTCCTAAAGAGCAAGAGTGAGATCAGCAAAACTTGTCTCTGAGTGAAAACGGCATTGCTAGCTGCAGTATACTCACCAGGGGCCTTCCTGCATCCTTGGTCCATGTCCATTTGGTGAAATTAGTTCTGCATTCTCATGCCATGTCTGAGCTTGTCTGTGGTCAGATGAGTGCTTTGTCATCCAGCTATGAACCGATTTCTACATCTGTAACTGTTTGTAGGATCTGACACACAGCTTTGTGGAATCACCACATTCCAAACAAGTTTTTAGATTGTTTCTTTTCAAGGGTTTAACATACTTGGCATCTCAGCTACAGTTTTTTACTACATAAATTTAGATATCAGTCATTGCCACCACTTGGTCACCATGACGTCATCTCAACTAGAATCTGATCTACTGCACAGCAAAAGCACCAGAGTAATTCTAAATTAGCTCAAAGTGGCTTGGAATTGAGCAAAAACATGTTTATTCTCATCAACAGGTTTTGAAATAATTTTCAAATGCAATCCCCTTGCTCATTTGCCTAATGTGACCTGTAGGCACATTATGTTATTAGAAAGTCACTGCAGATTTTGCTTTGATCTATACATTTGTTTTCCTTCAAGTTAGATCAAAAACAGAGCTGAAACAAATCTGAATCAGAAACAAATCTGAAGGGAAAGAAAAATAAAGAGTGGACCATTTTTATTAAGATTTTTTCATTATTATTGCTACATTTAGTTTATTTGAAGAGGGAGGGAGAGGTGGTTCTCATATGCAAGCAGTGTATAGATCCAACTCACCCACAGCTAATTGTAATGAAGCTCAAGAAAATGGCAACACAAAAGGCCTGCATTTATTTTGTGGGTAACATGTACTTTCTGTCAACTTCCAAAAGAAAACAAATATTGTTTTTCTGCAGAAATCTAGAGGGACTGGAAAAACAACGGAGGGATGAACAGAAAAGCAAACAAATTCAACCAAGTGGATGTTGATTTTATCTCTCTCTGAACAGTGTCCAGGAATTAAATAACTGAACCATGAGGTTATAGCACGTAGCTGAAACTTCTTAGGTCTACATATAACCAAGTTTGTTTTCAAACTTTTTCTAACGTATAGATGCAAATTAAAATGAATGAGAAGATGTAATAATTTGCAGAAATATATTTGCTATTGTGTTCTAGCAACACTTATAATCCATACTTCTGGACCCTGAGGACATATGGACTATTTCTAGAGTTACCAAAAAACAGAGTTAAGGATGTCATCTCTGCAGCCAATAGATTATCTACTCCCAACACTCTCTGGAAAATTTTGAGGAATCCTGAAACTGTGCCCAGTGAAACCATAAGTCTCCATTTTATGCTACTTCACAATTAGGGTATCTTAGATGAGGCATCAGTGCGCGAGGGCGTATGCGGCCCTAGGTCCGGCTGGCAGCAGGGGTGAGAAGGCCAACGCCCCTACGCATAGGAGAGCCAACTCCCTTTGGCGTCTCGGTCTCAGGCTGGGCTGGGTGCAAGCTCGGAATTGCGCGCTGTGGACGAGACAGGAGGCGACCATTTGCTGGGGGTGAAAACGTCGGTTTATTGATGAAGGTGACTAACATATGGTGGAAACACCCACAGCCAAATGGCCCCAAATAGGGGCAGAAACCGGGTTATAAAGGGAAGGGGAGGAGAAGGGAGGGGAGCCCAGCTAACCAATAGGGAAACTCAAAGGGAGGTGCTGAACATAACTGACATACCTTGGTAACCAATAAATACAAAGTAAGGGAGGGGCCCCGGGACCACAGCCTATCACCATCCCCAGAGAGAAGAAGGTTCTCGAATGCTGGGAGGAGAGGGAGGTGATTGACTGAGCCCAGGGAGGAGAAAGCATTTACTTATAAGGGGGAATAGGGGAGGAGGAATTATATAACACAACTGATTGAAAGCAGGGGTTGCTAAGGAAACCAACTGCCAGAGGAGCAGTGGCGGGAAAACTGGGGAGGGAGGAACCATTTACAAGAACAGGGGGATACAATACATAAAATGGGGGATACAATACATAAAATGGGGGAGCAAACTTAAAAACACACCACAACATCTCCCCGTTTCTTAACAAATAAAATAAAGAAAACTAAAATATCTATGCAATTCAAAAAGAAGATGCCCGCGGCTGGTCTTGCCAATCTTCGCTTTCTTCAAGCTGGAGTTCGCCAGTCTACATATGTTCCTGAGTCGGCTCAATTGACCTCTCCTTGTCTGCAGCTCCCTCGGCCTCTGAGGAGAGGTCTTCCAGCTCGAAGTGCTCTTCCTGAGGAAGTGTGGCCTGATTGACAGTCCTTGATGTCGCTCTGTCTATCAGTCTTTGGACCAAACCGCGGACTAGTGTGAACAAAACTAAAAGTACAATCAAACTTAGAACTACTTTACAAACTGATTTTAAGACTGAGTCGGCTCACCCGCTGAGGCCCCAACCCTGGAAAATGTCTCCCAGCCAGTCCGATGTCTCCTGTTTGACCTGATGGACGAGGTCTTGGAGTCTTTTGATCGAGTGTCTGGCGTCCTCGGCTCTTGAGGACAGATTCAGACAGCAGAGGCCCTCAAACTCTTCACAGTGATGGTGATGAAGCAGCAATAGAAAATCTATTGCTGCTCTGTTTTGGAGTGTCGCCTTCCTTGTAATTTTCTCGTCTGTAAGGAGGTCGTACAGCGCGGCTGAAGTAAGATTGGCTTGTTTAGCCACCCAACACTCTAGGCGGCCCAATTCACCTAGAGATTTGGCTACCGATACCCAAGGTAACAAGATGGTAAAGACGACAGACTTTGAATGTGACCAATAAGTAATTTCATCATCACAGTCCTCGGTGAGATCTTTAAGATCTCTTTTGGATCTAGCCAATTCGGATGTGATGTTGGTCTTTTTCTAATTGATAATTTGGGTGACGTTGGGGGTAAACAGCATCAGCCGGCCAAAGGTGCATGGCTCTCCGACCAGACCAGAGGGGATGCCTGCCCACGCTCGGTCGCCACAAATCAAAAACACCCCCCTTGGAAGGGCATAAGGGGTCCGCTTGGTGGTGGTAGGGCCGACGATCTTCAGAACAGCCCGACACCACTGGTCAGCTTGATATTCTTTCTTTGTTTGCAGGACCACTTCAGTGCCCTTCTCTATGGGGGTAAGCGTATAATCAAACTGAAAGCAAATAGTAGAATTGGCGGAACCGAGTAAATGTAATTCTGAGGGCTTGGAGGGCGCAGGATCCAGCCTCGCCACTCCGTCTCTCCAGGCGTTACTGGGTTCAAAGCCGGGGAGGAGAGTAAGGCTCCGGGCCAGAATGGGGGAAAAGGCAGACTCGAAGGCAGAGGGGAATTCGCCGGGAGAGAAAGGGATCTCCACAAGGCAGGACGACATTGGGTCCTCTGCTGCGCCGGTGTCGAGGCAAATGCTGTCTTGTCCTAACGATTGAGCCAAGGCACGCCAGACGTTGACTTTTGGCTGGGGAATGACCCACGGCTCCGTAGGTGGTAGAAGGAGCCCGCAGGTCGTCAGCACCATCAGAAGTGTGCCCGGGTTGGGAGCCAGCGATGTCAAGGTGGGGGCCATTCGGGGAGATGCAACTGAAACAAACGGAGAGCTGTAAAAGCATATAGAATTCACAAATATGGTTCCTCTCTAAACAACTAACTTAAATAGAACATACGGGGGGTGAAAGTTGGCGCTGGGGGCGAATGGGAGGAGACATAACGTAAAAGGTCAAGGGGTGGAGGAGAAGCCGGAGGGGAAGGTTCTTCAGAAACTGGGGGGAGATTAGGAGAGAATAAGGAAGGTTGATGGAACAGTTTCTTCCACCGACGCCAACATGCCTGCCGGACTTGTGGTACTGCTTCTTTCTTGGTCTTCTGCTTTGGGATGAAGGGCCTGACTCACTTGGATGGTACCTACCTGGGACTCGAGCGAGTGGATACGCAGGCATATCCCCTCTCCCAGGTCACCAGGTCAAAGGGGCCCTCCGTCCACCAGGTCTCCGGATCTTTTACAAGAACTGGTGGCCTGGCTTTAGGCTGCAGCTGCTGGTGACTGCCGAAATGTCAGACCACTGGAGAATTTTGGCTGTCAAAAGAACAATTCAGGAAATTGAGCATGTACAACGCTCTTGACAGCTGGACGTGGGGGGGTCTCTACCTTCATCGCCGGTTGTTGCTGGGACAGGATCTTCTTGAGGCTCTGGTGGGCCCTTTCCACCATGGCTTGGCCTGTCGGGGAATAGGGGATGCCAGTTTTATGCACTATTCCCCATTGCTGCAGGAAGCTCCGCAGCTCCTTGGAAGTATATGCAGGGCCATCGTCTGTGTTTAGGGCACTAGGGATGCCCAAGACAGCGAATGCTTGAAGCAGATGCTTCTGAACATCCACTGCCTTTTCACCTGTGTGGGCAGAAGCATAGATCGCCCCGGAGAAGGTATCTACTGAGACATGGACGTAACACAATCGGCCGAAAGATGGGATGTGTGTTACGTCCATCTGCCACACCTCGCAGCTTGCCAGACCACGGGGGTTAGCTCCCGAGGTCACAGTAGGCATCTGGTCTCGCTGGCAATGGGGACATGTGGCCACGATCGCCTTGGCCTGCTCCTGCGTCAGATTGAATTGACGAACCAGGCCAGGCGCATTTTGATGGAACAGTTGGTGGCTGATTTTAGCCTGACCGAACACATCTGGGAGTGGGGCCTGCGAAACAGCAGCCGCGGCCAAAGTATCGGCACGACGGTTGCCTTCCGCAATGAACCCAGGCAGGTCTGTGTGTGATCTCACATGCATGACATAAAATGGATGCTCGCGGTGGGAGACCAACTCGACGAGCCTATTTAACAATTCAAATAATCTTTTGTTGGTGACCTCTTGAAGAACTGCGGATTCAGCTCGGGACACTACACCTGCGACATACGCAGAATCTGTAACCAAATTGAAGGGTCCAGGGAATCTCTGGAATGCTCTGACGACTGCGTCCAACTCAGCAACTTGTGGAGAGCCCTCCACAACAACAACATCAGTCTCCCACTGCTGAGTCAGAGGATCCTACCAAGTCATGACTGACTTGTGGGATGCTCCAGACGCGTCGGTAAAAACTGTCACAGCATCCAGTGGCTCTCTGCTCTGAACCTTCTTTAGTGATAATTTAAACTCCGAATTAAATAATTTGTGGGCCGGCCGATCTACTGCAATGCGCCCAGTGTAGCTATCCAGTGCAAACTGAAGGTATTCATTAGTTTGCAGCAGCTCTTCAAAGGTCTTTAATTT